ACAACCTATATAAAAATCCTTACTCAAAAAAATGGAAATTTTCACTATATATTTTTACATAAAAGAAATTCTTATGGTGATAAAAAATTTAACTGTATCAGCGTATGAAATATTCCGATTCAACGCAGTAAAGTTTCTGACATTCCCATTCCCATTAAGATTTTTTCTTATATTGGCATAGTAATTTTTACTATGACAGTGATAAGAAAACAACTATGGACATAGTAAAAATTTCAGTATTGAAAATTGCATCGAAAAATTTGAAAGAATGAAATAAATTTAATTTTGCTTTCGATCAGTCTAATAGTAAATGCACGCACACTGTATAATGTATGACTCCACCAGAAGTTAAAAAAAAATAAGTAGAAAAAGAAAACAAAAATAATAAAGATAGTTGAAGAGTTGTTCTAGAGGTCGTATAGCTCACTTAGTTGGTAAACTTGCATGTAAATTGACGATACGGATTAAATTGATTAATTTCTCACGTTTCCGACATGATTACGCGTAGCGGATTGGTAGAATTGGTCAACTTCTCTAAGAAACTTCATATTTTTATTAAATTCTACTGTTTCGAATCATCTTAGAGTCTCCGCCGGGCTAAGCGCTACAGTTTCAATTTATATGCTCGAAAAATTTGTGATGCATCGATGCGGCCTCTCTAAATAAATTTTTCGCGTTTTCAGGACTATGTTGAGATATAAAAATGATAGACATGTCGACGGTCTAATTAACAATTGGTCTAACTCCTTACTTTTTGGTTCTACGTCACTATATCCGAAGTCATTATATCCGCGATTTTTCCGCGACTTTGGTTTATCTAAAAATACGCCAACACATAAGCTTGTTACCGTGTTGTGCCCTTTTATCATGGATTTTGTGTGTGTTTATTCGATAGTAAACACATAGTGTCGCAGATATAATGGCCTCGAATCTTATGGTATGTTACCTATTTTTTAGAGGGTAATTTTTTAACATTTTGATGTAGCAATAGTCTAATTATAAATTATCTGAATGATCCAAACCAAAATATTATTACCTCTATTAGATATTAAATTGTTTTTTAAAGTGATGATAAGTTTTAAACTAATTGTTTTTTCATACAAATGGACGATTTTCTAAAATGGAATTAGATAATTTGCTAATTAACACGTCGATGTTCAACTTACCGGAGAATTTTCAAATTTCCTCTAAATTTTTCGTTATCACAAATCTAATAAGAGTCTCGGGCTGGGTTTTACAGTGTCTTCAACTAAAATCTTTAAGCTTCTATTTCAAATTCAGATGCACTAACAACCTTCACTTTATTAAACATATTTATCAGAAATAACTATTTTTTTCAATTTATAGTTTTGCTTGTATAAAAAACATAATATTGCTTCTTTAAATTGATCATGGAAAAGAAGGATAAAAATGAACTTTTTCTACAACGTTGGAACGAGTATTTTCACTGATAAAAAAATTCAAGATAAAAATCATTAAAAACCTACTTTTAAATAGTGTAATTTACTTGAACCAACAGCAATTTATCAGTTTCAAAATGTTTTTGCTTGATTAAAGAATTTTTTTTTTTAATTGAATCAATTTTTTTACAGTTAAACCGAACTGCAGTAAGCAATGTCGGATTATCAATTATGCATACTTATGAAATTAATTTATTTAGAATTTTTCATGTCTATAAAAAATCATTGATTTACATTGAAGCTCAGAAAGTTTTTAAAAAATTTATTAAAACCCTAATTAAGTATAATTTAAAATGAACTTTTTGTTTTCAGAGAGTGTTTCTAAAAAATTATCAATACAAAATATGTGCTGAATGCATTTTTGTGTGTAAGAAATTCTTTTATTCTTTAAAAAATATGTAATACTTTTAATATTAATTAATAAATAGAAAGTACAATAATTATGGTCAAAAAATAGTCGAAATATTTGTTGTCGCAAAACATATATATTTTTTTCCATCGCTACAGGGTGCTGATGCTCCAGAATAAACTAATTAGTGATGATCATTTAGTCGTAAAATCTGTTAATTTGATCCTAAGCCAGATGATGGACCTACCCTGATGAAATATTTGTTGTCGCAAAACTCAATAATTATGTTGAATTATGGTGTTAAAAAATTATTGAGTTTTGCGCCAACAAATATTTCGACTATTTTTTTGAGCATTACAATAATAAATGAAAAAGAAAAGACAAGAGAGGTCAGTCGGTTTTCTTGGTGACGAGATCTCATTAAAAACGAGTGCTTTATTAGGTGTGAGGTAAACACTACTAGCCTACATACTAATAACTATGTATGCAGTAAATAACGTGGCTTGACATGCAGAACTCTTGTACAATATTTTTTATCCTTTTTCGCTGTTCATTTAAAGTTAAACCACAATATTTTTTAGCTGTGGGGTTGCGTCTGTCTCTGTTGTCATTGCTGGCGTAATAGACGAGGGAGGTCGTGAGGGAAGTAAGCGCACCAGCACAACCACCAGGAGAAGAATAACTAGTAAGCAATAGGCACAAGCACCACGATGAGTATAATAGAAATAGCAAGAGCTTAATCAGTTAGTCGATAGACAAATTGGGTTAGCGTTTGCGACCATGGGTGGCAGCTTTAGTGAAACCTCGAGGAAGAAGAGTCAAGTGGCGACTGTCGTGATTTAAATAACTTTAGATTATTATATTTAATATCGTAGAAAGAATAAATCATCTGAATAGACGAAGATAATAGATAGAGACAGACAGACATAGTAAGAAACAAATAAATAACAATAACAGTTTACTGCCGGTATTTATATTCAACGTTTAACTCTCTTTTCTTCGTTTTAGTTTTACTTTTAATTTTATTTATATTACTCACTGTACTTTTATTCCTTAAATATTTATAAGTATCAGTCTGGCGCGATCCATCTATTTTTTTATCACGTCTGGATACTCTAAGCAATTGAAGTTTTTCAAGTGGAGAATGAAAATTAAACGACCCAGATGAAACGGACGTGTCATTATTATTATTATTATCGTTATTGTCATTTTCCAAAAACTTTTTTTTCCTGTTACAAAGTTTACAGTTTTTCTATCTTATATTGTTTTGGTATTGTTGGCTGATTTATTGCGGCGACCTTCTCGCTGTGGTTACATTATTTATTCGTATGTGTCAACGAAGCCGGGACCCTGTGGTCGACGATTTGGAAAGTCTATTGGGGTAAGGAGTTCTTTTTGAAAGTACTCTTTTTATTGAGGTTATTTATCTAGTCAAGTTATATAAATTGTTTTTATTTATTAATCCTTTACAGTTTTTTATTTGATTCATGTAAGATATTTTTTTTTTAATTTTAACTTTTTAAAATTAGTTATAAAAGAAGTTTTTGATAAAAATCATGTTGAAAATATTCGTAAAAAATTATTTTTATACAAGTGTTGAATGGAAAAATATTTTGACGAAATATTACTGGATTTTTTTGTGTTTGAAAAAATATCCCACTTTTAAATTAATTACTTGAAATCACTAAGTTAGGTGAGATATTTTATTTTGGGGGTAATATATAATCTTATAGAGAAATAATCACGCAAAAAATTTTACTTTAGCTTCACAAGTTTTTTTAGAACCTTATGTTAAAAAATATTATAGTAAAGTATCAGTCCTCCGATTAAATTTTGTTTTTTATTTAGGGGGTCAATTGAACCAAAAAAAGTTTAGCAATTTTTTATTGTTCAAATTAAAATTAAATAATAATTTTTTTTCTTAGAATAGTAGATTAGGTCGACTATCATTATTAATACATAAATTAGTCAATAAACAACGTAAATTGTTAAAAATTATTAATTTATACAAAGGCGTCGAATTGTTCAATTGACCCCCGCTTGGGGGCAATTGAACCACTGCTTGGGGTCAATTGAACCAATAATATTTAAAACTAAAACCCGAACTTTTAATAGATAATATATTAATTTTTACTTGCTAATATTACTATTGCACATTTTTAATGCACAGAAATTGTATTAAATAAATTAAAAATAAATTTAAAAATAATTTTTATTATAAATTCAGTTCATCAAATTGTTAGGTTATTTCCCTGAGTATTTTTTACGTAGAGTAAAGATGCGCGCGCATGTCTCATGCTTCTCCGTGGTTCAATCGTCCCCGGGACTACTGGTTCAACTGACCCCATATAATTTTATGACAATTAATAGTAAATAATAAATAAATAAACTATTATATCACTATAAACGAAGTTGGAAAATATAAAGTATAAGTACATACAACTACTTCAATTCAAACTTTATCAATTAATTCAAAAATTATAATATTATTGAGTGATTTGTCATCAGCCGAAAAAATAGTTTACATACCTAAGAATGCAAAAATCTAAAATTTTTTTAAATTTATTAATCGCAATGATTTCGAATTTTTATCATATCAGAGTTTAACATATTAGAATCTAATACTAAGAGCATGAAGCATTTTTTCGATTTTTTAAGTCGAGTGGTTCAATTGACCCCTTTCTTCCCTACTTGTTATTTTTAATTTAGAGTAAATCAAAGAAAGTTTGAAAATCCAAAAGTACGTGATTCATAATGCTTATTGAATTTTTGATAAGAAATTTATTGCTAACTCATAGGTTAAATTGAAGAAGATTGAAATTAAATATTGACTACTTTTCAAGTAATTTCTATGTCAAATATTCCTCCATAATTTGCTTATTCACTGAACTGAGCTCTAGTCGTTGTAATAACGTGTATACGCATAGAAAAAAAATTTCTATATGTATATTTTACGTATAGAAAAGATAATATCAGTTTAGTTTTTTATTAATTACAATTAAACTACACTGAAGTAGATCGTTAGTTGAGATGCCAAAAAGAAAAAGTAAAGTAAAGTAAATAATGAATATTGCTAGTCAGAAAAAATTTGTAATTTATCTCATCGATTTGGTCATTATTATTACACTGAATCAATTTCTAAAAACTGCAGAACTAATGTTCAATTAATTATTTACAAAGTATTTTGCATTATGAGTCGTGCAACTGAACATCAAACATTTTATCAAACCAATCTGGATAAAAATTTGATATGGTTCCATGGCTTCATTGGTTATTGTAAAGAATAAATTTTAGCTGCGTGTAAAGTTACATTATGAATTCCAAAATTTACTTAAATAAATGCGCTAACAATTTCCTGAATAAATAATAATGGAGCCTTCTAAAGGAGAGGGGATTGAAGTCGCGATCTTCTAATAACATGTTTATTCTCTTTACTACTAATAAGCGGTATTGAATCAATATTCATCATATCTCTCGAGTTTTGTAAATACTCGTTGTTTTTTTCAGTAGATTAAATTTATTTACACACTGATAAGAAAATTGACTCAAATGAATAGAATTAATCTTGAAATAAGAAATTGTTCTTGGTTTGAGTAAATTTTACTTGACTAAAGAAATTTTTTATCATATTCAAGACGATTAAATTTCTAAAAATAATTTTTTTTGGTTCAAGATCTTTTCTTCTTAGTAAAGTTAATTTTTCATTGGTGCAGTTAAGAAAAAACAAATATTGTAAAGAAAAGTGAATAGATTTTTATTCTTATTTTTATTAGAAATTACAAAAAGCTGGAAAAAAAGTATTGAATATTAATTTGAAAAAATTATTTTTTCCTTAATAATTTTTCGTCATAATATTATACTTAAGCTTTGTAAAAAAAAAAAAAAATTTGTCAATATGAAACAAAATAAATGAGAAATTTAATGTAAGCCTCACAATTTCTGCATTAAATTAATAAACTAAAAAAATAAAATATTTATTAAAGGTATGACGAGGTACTACCTGACGATAATTTGCTGTCTCTACACCCTCGTCGATATGGGATCTCTACATTTTTCGTGAGTACACAAATCCCGTAAAAATAAAAATCGATTATCGCCGATAGTATTACCCGGTTTTTCGTATTAATGTAAACAGAAATGACTAAAAATCTTCTTTTCACAACTATATTATTCATTTACAATGAATCAACAGATACAAAAGTCATGTTCATATTGTATTCTATAAATTATACCAATAAAAATTAGTAGAGATAAACCGCGATAAAAGATAAAATCGTCGATTATCGATCTTAGAATCCATAAAAAAAAAACCCCCGTAGTCCCGTCATACTCCCCAACTGTTGGAGTTTCAGCGAGAAAATATGCGAACCGGTACTTTCAACGGAGGTAGAGGGCTGGCATATTAAAGTCAATAGTCTAACGTCTCGCACGATTCGACTGTCCGCAAGAAAACGCGGGTACAGATTTTTTCCCAAGATCCAAAGGTAATAATCACTCACTAACTGACAAACAACAAACGACTTTCTTGTATTACCTGTACTCTTTCATTTTATTGATTCTACTAATAATTACAATTACAATTTTAACTAAACTTTACACTTGTTGCTACGCGGAGAAAAATAAGGCATCATGAGACTCATTTATATATTAATCACTAATTTATTATAGTACTAGTTTTGAAGTAATTATCATTTAAATTAAAGGTAAATATATATAAAGGGGGCTTCGCCGATTTTCAGCCATAAGCAATAAGAAAATGATGATATTAATCAATTTTTTGTTTCTCAATAGTTCCTCTTTTTGGTGAATTAATAAAAAACTGGTTAAATTTTCAAAAAATTGAATTTCATGAAGATTTATGGATTTAAACTTTTGACTTTTGTTAAAAAATTTAAGGATTACCTAATTATATTTTAACATTAATATATTTTCTGTCTATACATACTTTCTGTTGCAAATTTAAAAGGCCGCGTAGAAAAATATATATGTGAAAAATCTATGCTGCATCTGTATGGTATATATAACATATAAGAGCACATAGAAATTCCAAAATATGGTGCGCAAAAAAAATTAATGGCAACATATATGTTTGAGTATATATATTTTTCCATGCAGGTCAGGACAATTAAATCAAAAAAATTTTTCGATGCATGAATTTTTTTAACTTTTACCATTATGAGTAAATCCGTCGAATAATATGGGATATAGTCACGATTTTACTCATTTTACAACATTCTGAAAAATCTAAGCATTGATATATTTATTTATTTATTTATTTAAACAAACCCAACAGCTTAAGTCATTAACATTGTTGATATTTACAGCAATTAGTATATATAAAAAATTTGTAATGTATAACAAGATGACTTATAAATAGTACAGTAATTTAATAGATATATCGACAAAATTGGTTTTTTTAATTATTCTATAGAAAATATATTATCGATAGGCAACATGAAAAAATATTACAATATTGAAATTAATCTATCAGATTATAGATTAAAATTCAAAATTTTATTTTGAGAATTTCTCAAATCTGAAAATTTTTATAAAATTTAATTTTTTAGAAATTGAATTCATATTAAACAGTAATTTCCCCATAAATCGATTCTTGATTTTTTGCTTTAGAAAATAAGTACAGCCCCACTTTTACATAATTATCAAATTTAATAGTAAAAGTTTAAAAAAATTACATTTACAAAATTTTATCTAATATAATTGAACTTTTATTACTCTCATTGCATCAAGCTGTTTATTTTCCCCCTTAAGCCTGGAATCCAATCTGTCGACTAATTTTAAAATTTATCACCATTATAATCCAACACTTTTCCGACTCGTACCATAAACAATTATAATTATTCAGAATATTCAATTCACAATTTAAAATTATTGCTCTACCCCACTAAAATTATTATTTATCTAAAAATACAATTTTCAATATTTATTGCATAAATAATTTCAAATAACCATTAATTTAAAAATGTAATGATTTATCATCAATTGTATTGACAGATTTGTCAATTTTCGATGAGATTTACATCATCATTAATTTATTGACTACTTTTCTCCGTGTGCATCAAACTAAAACCATAAACATTCACAATACTTACTACCTTACATCTTACTACTAACTCACAATAATATAATAATTAAGGAATGATGTTTCGTTGAATAAAAAACCGACTTATAAATCCCATTAATAAAAATTTCAAAATGATATTTCATTGTCTGATATCTCAATTAACTATCACCTATCACTATGACTTTATTTTACATCACGTGTCAATATATATTTACTAGCTGCAAGCTCCATCGTGAAACTTAGGGGTATTTAAAATTTTTACGGCTTCAATGATACTGCATGAATTGATCGAGAATCTCAAATTATTATAACAATATTAATAAATAGGCTGACCTAATAGGCTAAGTAATAGAATTTATCATTGAGGTTTTCTCTTTTTTCTCTTTCTTTTCTTAAACTAAAGCTTACTTCTACTTAGAATCTCAATTGAACGTCAATTTATTATTAACATCATTATAAGTCGGAAATCCAAAAACTTGATAGTTATCACTAAAATTTTTAATAAAAAATCATTATGTCGATGTTTTCGACGGCAGATAAGTGAATACTGACCTTCGAAGGTCCATAAAGACTATCAACATTACCATCAGCTGATAATACCGGCAGTGATACTGTAAAAGCTCAAGCTCTGATTCGGGTAACCAAGAAAAAAGCTCTAACGTCTTACCATTCGTTGAATTTCACGCCGAATCATGTATCGTGTATCATACCGTGATTATTTATACATATATATGTATGTAGGAAAATATATATATGTATAGATAAATATGGACGAACAATACTCCCTATTTTCTTATCTCCAACACGATAACTTTGTAATACATAGTAAGGGAAAGGGAGAGGGAGAATATTCCTGGGTTTTGTTGTTGGTTATTCGATTGTGGCGTCGCAGGGGAGTGGAAGTAGAAGACTACGGCAGAAAAGAGGCCTCCCTATCGCTCAGAGACATTCTTCCTTTGAATCCAAAGCAATATGACAAGCACAGGGCGCCAAAGTTCTATGGGCAACCCACCATGGTCTACTTTCACGTCACTGTTCTCAGTCTCGATTCAATAAATGAGGAATCGATGGTATGTATTGTTTCTCTCATGACAATGCTCACTTTTTATTTATATTCTTCATCCCCGTATCTTCTGCTAGCAGCAAATGTCTGGAGCTTGAGCCCAATGATATTCATTTTACTTTTTTCACAATTTTTAATGGTTCAAAAATTATTTTATCCATTCCGCTTTAATTTTTAAGCAACAATTTTTATTTACATTCATAAAAAATTTAGCTTGACTTAAGAGAAAAAACCTTAACACAAATATATCTTGTTGAAGAAAATAATTTTTTTGAGTCAGACAGAAGTAAATTTTTCGAAAAAAATTCTTAAACTAAGAAATTTTTACTTAGTTTAAGTAAATTTTACTTTATTCAAGAATTTTTCGTCTTGATTCAAGACAATTACCCTCTTCAAAATTATTTTCTTGGTTCAAGAATTTTCCTCTCGAATTAAGTTAATTTTCTTTTCAGTGTATAAAAATAAAATTGACTGTCATCTTTTTTAAATATGACGTGCGGATAAAAGTATCGATTCGAGGAATTTTAAATTGAAGAAAAGAAATGACAAGTGAAATGTATGGTAATAATAGTGATATTTTTTCTCAGACATATGTAGCAGACATATTCCTAGCTCAAAGCTGGCGCGATTCAAGGCTAAGGTTACCGGAGAATATGTCCGAAGAATACAGGATACTGGACGTGGATTGGCTCCACAACATATGGCGTCCTGACTGCTTCTTCAAAAACGCAAAAAAAGTTACTTTTCACGAGATGTCGATACCAAATCACTATCTCTGGCTTTATCATGACAAGACTTTGCTCTACATGTCCAAGTAATTTTTTTCTCTTTGTTCGTTTTAGCTACAGCTTCTCTGGAAGTTGTGACTTTTGAAAAAGAGTAAATGAAAAAAGCAGTAGCTTGCTGAAAATTTTTCATATTACATATAAATTCTTATTTCAACTGTCAAGAGAAATTTTAATTTATAACATAAGTTAGAATATGAAGACATTTTCTTGTGCACTTTTGTCTCAGCGGTAAATTTAAGTGGCTTTTCAGCTTAGATACTTGGATTTAATAAACATTTTTTTCAGGCTAACACTGGTTCTCTCATGCGCAATGAAATTTGAATCTTATCCTCATGACACTCAGATTTGTTCGATGATGATAGAGAGCCGTACGTACTTTTTACTATATTTTTATTCCAAAAAATTATTTTTTCATAATTAATGATGAAGATATTAATCATATGAAGGTACTTGGAATTAATTTTACAAAGTTTATTGACTATGAATTTAAAATGCAGAAAAATGATCATAATATGATTAAAACGATATTTGACAATTTTTAGATTTTTTTTTCAAAAAACAAATTATTTAAAAAAAAAAATTGTATATCATTTGTATTGTTCTATATTTTACGTGGAGAAAAAAATACTATTGTCCAAACAAGAATTTCTTGGTACAAGGAATCCGTTAAAAATATTTATTTTATAATTTCTAAGTATTGATTTCTTGAGAAAAAAACATTAATATTTTCTCAGTGTAGCGAAAACTTTACAAAATGTTACGAGATTTTTACTCTAATAAACTGAGATTGTAGGGTAGAAGTACCGTTTGTGGCCGATGTACCGTTTACGGCCATTTACTGTTCAAATAAACGATAGAAATGAATTTATATTAATAAACCATTACAAACTCAATTTGTTATAATATAATATTTTTAATACTCAACAAAAATATGGTTATAATATTATAATTTTTTATAAATTAACTCAAATGTTAACTGGCCAAAAACGGTGCTAAGGTGGCCAAAAACAGTACTTCTACCCTAAATGTTGTTAGTTTAGAGACTTAAAATTAAATTGTTCGATTTTCTACTAAGTAATGAATAGTTGGAAATTAGTATGCTGGAAAACAACATAATAACGTTATATATATATATATATATTAATAGAATTTACATTCTTGTTTTAATTGCAATTTGCTTTATATATTCTATTATGACTTCAAAATTTATTGTACTTATTTGAACACTATCTATGTATATAAAATTTGCAATTCGGCTTAACGCCTTGGCATTAAAACTAAATAAATAAATAAATAAACATGTGTAAATAAAATGAAAAAAAAAAAATCTTTTTTAAATTGACTTATAAAAATTTTCAAGAATTATGAATGCAATTTTTTTGCAATAATTTATTCTTTTAATTTAAATTAAATAATGTCAGATGTCTGCTGATTTCAATATTATAAAAAATTATATTTTTTCAATTTTTTATTGCAAAATTAGTATTTAATTAGCAAGATTAAATCTTTTATTCGGTAAAAGATCTTAATGAATCTTATCATTATTGCAAAGAGACAAAATTCGAAAGATATTTAGGACAGTAAGAATTTAATAAAGCAATATACATAAAAACGCGGTATTTTAGGGTCCGGAAAACAAACGTTTATTCAAAGTGTAACTGAATGTGTCGTGAGTCATTAATAACCGGGAATTTTAATTAAAGGATCCATTAGTATCTCTCAATGTCTTATCTTTTCATTAATATTCCGAACCACACAAGTCACATCCAATAGTATCGCATCAATTAATCTTACTCCGGTCCATACAATTGTTGTTAGCGTCGCTCATTAAAGCCTCTATTAATTAACCCTTTAAAAAGCAATAACAATGACAGAGATTTATAATTTTCAAAAAAAATTACAATTTAACCAAAAATTAATAATAGCATTTTTAATTTTATTCAGTATCGCACACGACACAGGATTTAGTTTTCATCTGGAACATGACAGATCCACTGGTTGTGAATCCTGACATAGAACTGCCGCAATTGGACATTTCAAATAATTATACAACCGACTGCACAATCGAATATTCAACCGGCAATTTTACTTGCATTCAAATAGTATTCAATTTGCGACGTAGACTTGGTTATCATCTATTCCACACGTACATACCCTCTGCGCTAATTGTCGTCATGTCCTGGATCGCCTTCTGGATAAAGCCTGAAGCAATTCCTGCAAGGGTTACTCTAGGAGTTACCTCCCTTCTCACTTTAGGTAACATTACATTTACATATTCACCAGAGCTCTATGTTTATCGATACCATCGATCTGCTTACAATCAGTCATGGATATCTTACAATTGACAGGATTACGTGCCGTTAATTTTACATGCTAATTTTATCCAAATCCGAGTGATAAATACATACTTACAGGAAAAATTATGTAAAATAGAGGGTTTTCAAGAATGTTGATTTATTAATTTCTCAATTTTTTTGAGAACATTCAGTTATTTTTAAAAAATCTTTCCGGGCATATAAAGCAATTTTTTTATTAACTCCTTTTAAAAGATATCGAAATTATCTTAAAAGTCGTTTTTTTTTTCAGTTTTTGTTCTTAACTTCTTTAATAATAATTCAATAGTAACTTTTTTTTTTTTTTTTTAAGTATACTTGCTAAAAAAAATTATTTTAATTGTTAACATAAGCTAAAAGATCCAATTATTGACACTTGCAATTTTATTTCAATTAAAAAAAAACAAATCAACTCTAATAAATTAATTCATATAATTTTTGAATTATAAATTTTAAAATAATTGGTTTTTTGAGAACGTTTTATTTTTTTAATTAGAATAAAATTGTAAGTGTCCAACAACTAGGCCAATGTCAATAACTAGATCTTTTACCTTACATGATTTTTTTAATTGAAATTGAAAATTTTTTTTTTCAAAATTTTTGATCACAAATTACTCTTTTTTTAATAATTTTTAAGCTTGATCGGACCGTGGGATTTTCATAATTACTATTTTTTTGTTTTTTATAATTCGTTGGAGACACCAATTTTTGTTACTGTATAATTTTTATTGTTATTTTGTTATCTTCAATAAAGTCTAAAATTCAATAATTAATTATTTAGTCTGTAAATTTGGTAGGCACTAAAAAATTGAGAAAATCAAAAATAGAAAATTCCAATTTTTCTTATGTCCTTTTGGTGACTGAAAAAAAAATATGAAACAGAAAAATATTCAAATGAAAAAAATTGTATTATTGTACCACGTGGAGTTCAAAAAATTTTAGCAGTAGTGTATATTTAACAATCAGGGTGGCGACTGAAGACTAATTTAAAAATTCCCTGACTTTTCCATGACTTTTCGCTGACCAAAAATAAAATTCCAAAACCTACAAAAAAATAATTGTTATTCAAATATTCGTTATTATTGCAAATTATTTCAAAAATAATTTTTGTACGCTAGAATTCATATCTAATCTCCAGAATTGAGTAAAAATTTGGAACTATAAATTATGTTATACTTTTTTGCAGATTTTCAACTGTTCAAAAAAGATCAGTTTCTTTTAAAAATTAAATTAAATAATTAAACTTTTGAAAATACAATAATTGATATTATTACTATCATTAATCATTGAGAAGTTATACTTCTTTTTTATTATTAATTATCCATACATTTAGTTTTTTTAATATTATTGATCACAAAAAAGAAGAAATATTAATTAAGAAATTAAATACAATCAATAAATATTAAAAATTATCTGCAGTACCATTTTTAGAATGCTATAAAAATAATTTATCATTTCTACAGCATTCTAGTTTATTTTTTAAAATAAACTAGAAATTTCCCTGACTCAAGTCAAAACTCCCTGACTTTTTACTGACTATTCCAGAAATTTCAAATTCCCTGACATTTCCAGGTTTTCCAGGTCAATCGCCACCCTGAACAATATTTCGAGTCGATTTAACGCAATTATATCAAATATAGGTACGCACAAAAGTATCAAATTTGTGTCACGTAATAACGGACAATATTTTACTATGAAAAATTCTGATTAAAAGTTATAGAACTCACAAGAATATTTTTCTTCGTAAGTGTAAAAAATGTCACAGCAAAGTGACAGTGAAATCCATAAATGCTGATACGCAGTATTTCTCTACTATTATATTTTCCGCTGACCTGAAAGAATCGTATAATAATAAAAAATCAAAATGACCGTAAGCTGTCACAACTTTAACCTCAGATATATTTATATACACACTTCTATAAATTTTATACGCATATGAATTGCCAGCAGAGCCGTTTCATTCCAATGAATTCTTGTTATATTACACCTTCTTCTCAATTCATTGCAATGTTGACACTTTTATATATTTTTATTCATAGAATACTGTTGATCAACTCTTTTGTTGTTGAGAATCAAGTTCGTAGTAAATGTGACACTTATATTTTTTTTCTGTTGTGAAATTATGCGTTCTAATAATTTAGCGAGAAAACTTTTAATTAACTTTGAAATAATTATCCGACAGACTATTCTCAAATTAAAATTACAAGTTACTCAACTTGATTCTCGGTAAATTTAATTACGTTAAATTTTAATCGTTTAAGAAACTAAATCGCAACTGATCCTTTAAGACAAAATAATTAAAAGTTTAAACTTTAAAACTTGTAAATCCTTTTTATTATCACAAAAATTTTATTAAAAATAATTATAAAATGTTTTTGTCTGTTGTTAAAAGCAACTCAAAATACACAGTCCCAGCAATCATTGCCACCAGTCTCATACGTAAAAGCCATCGATATATGGATGTCGTCATGCAGCGTCTTCGTATTTCTCTCTTTGATGGAATTCGCTGTCGTAAATAATTACATGGGTCCTGTTGCTACCAAAGCAATGAAAGGATACTCTGATGAAGACCTTAGAGAATCAATAGATGAATTTAAGGTAACCTAGTTAACTACACACCTAGTTACATACATTACTCAGGGCTCTTTAGTCCTTAACAGAGCCCTTATTAAATTTAAATATTATATTATTCTCTTTAAAATTAAATTCCATCCAACAATAAATTTTTTTTAATTTATAATTTTAAGAAACAAAATTTTTTTCAGACTAAAATTTAATTGGAAAAATCAGTGTCCTAATTGCTGAAAATAAATACATTTTACCCTTCAAGAAACCCAAAATTTATTACACAATATAAATTACTGTTATAAAAATATTGCAGACTCCAATGAGGCCAGAATCGAGAAATCGGAGTCCAGTGAGGCCACTTAGCGTCCAGTACGACACTTGCTGTCACGGAAGAGCAACGGCCATCCTAATAGATAAATTTTCCCGATTTTTTTTCCCCTTTTCCTTCGCCATTCTCAACGTTGTCTACTGGAGTACTTTCCTCTAACTATTTTTCTTTATTAATTCCTCATTATTCATAATAAAAAAACATCTCTCCGTACAGATGTTTTATAAGTACAATAAATTACTCTCACGAGTTTTATAGATCATTACATTAAAAATAATAATCTATTTGAATAATAAATAATAATTTATGAACAATAAATACATTGTATTACTGACATTTAACACGTAGAAAAATAAATGTTGTTTTAAACAGCATATTTAATTATCTAATTATTAATTAATAAAAATTTCTTACCTTTGTCGAGCAAAAAAATGACAACTTAAAAAAAATGGGTAGGTAATTTTTGAATAAATATAAAACAACAATAACGTGAATAAAGACAGCACTTCATTTATTTTATCCATATATTTTCTTTGTTTTATCGGTTCGCATATCTTAATAAATATATTTATATTTTCATTGTTATTATTATTATTAATATTAATATTATTAATAATTAAAGTGGTTCTTTGCGTGCACTCGTAGCTTCAGAGCCCCCAATAAATGATCGATCTACGACCGATTTCAGGTTTTGTGCTACGCACTAGAAATTATGAAATCAACTAAAAATAATATTTATTACATTTTATTATTTATTATTTATTATTAATAATAATAATTGTTCTGTCGATTATCTTTGATCTTTATATATTTATTTATTTATTTAGTCTACATTTGTTTAATCTCGTCGCTTCATTATCGAGACCATTTTTTTTATCTTTCTAGTCGATTTTTAATTATTTTAACTCGTTAATTAAATTAAATCCAATCAACAAGAAGGAGTTACTCCCACGGCAAAACAAGTGGGAGTAAGTCACATGCCGAAGGCTAACAAAATTCGAAACGTCTTATACATTATAAATAAATAATATATTTATGTATTTTTTTATTTTATTCTAGCCCCGAGAGCTTTACCATAAACTTCAGTCAATTTACTATTCTATATTTATTATTGTTTTTATTATTATAATTATTTTTTTTAAATATACATTGAATACAAAAAGAAAAATTTTATACATAGTTATCTTCATTTTCAAACAATTTATAATATGAATTTTATTTAAAGTTTTTTATTATTTTTCGTAGGGAAGAATCGAGATTGTTCGTCTGCTTCAATCACGTTATAAATTATCTAATATGTTTAGATAGTAATTTTAATTAACAAGCCGATTAAAATTAATGTTGCTTACACGGGTCGTTTATGTTTAAAATTTAAATGCGGACGTAATATAATTTAATATGTAATGTATGTACAGAAAACTTTATATTATTACATTTACGCTCACTGTTTCTTATTATTATTATTCCTGGGGATTGAGATGCTCTGATAATACTCTCCACTGGACAATTAAAGTTAAATAAACTTGAGTTTGTTAGTAAAGACTGGTTTTAATAAAAGAGAAAAAACTGTTTTTGTTATTATTGTTATGGTAAGTTTTTTATTGCACGAAAATGTGGGTGGAAGAATTTTTCTTGATAAAGAGATATTTATGAATTTTAAAATTGAACAAAAATAATTAATTTACTAAATTTAAATATTTCTAACATTTAACATTTAATTAATTACTTTTGAGAATAAATTATTTGTGTGGTTTTTGAGAGATGAATGTGATAAAATTCTTCATGAAAAAATTTTTTAATATAGCCATATCTAGCTAATTGTAATGTTGAGCTTAATGTGGACGTATATTGCCTGACCTAGTCACATATAGCCATATCAAATTATGTATGAGAGTAAGTTTACTATAATTTTTCATTTTTTTTATAAATCTTTACGTTAATCAACGTGTAATGAAGGAAAATCGGTATAGTAGTTGATTAAATCGAAAAGTAACGTCTGATAAGTTCTTTCGAATAGCAAAAAAATAATTTTTATTTTAGAAATTAACGCTTTATGCTTATGTTAATATGTCTCTTGTAAGGAGATGATCAAACGACTTCTGAGAAAAATTTTTCAATACTTCCTTTGGTCAAAAAATTGTACATGGGCATATACGACCATATCAAGCCATATGTGGACATATCAATCTTCTAAAATGGCTATATATAGTAGGGTGGCCCAAAAAAACCGACTATCTATTTTGTTTTTAGTCTCGAGTGAAAAAATTTTAGTTTTTGATATTTTAAGAGCCTTCTCCAAAGGACAGCTTAAAAAAATTTTTTAAGAAGTTACTCCAAATTTTTTTAAATTTCAAAAATCGAATTTTTTTTTTTTTCCTAGTTACGGTATAATTTTATATACGTTTTTTTTCTCGTTACGGTATAATTTTGTAGACTAAAAAAAATAAGTTTCTGAAAATTTCAGTTCAAAATTCGAATTTTGAAAGGTCGCTCATAATTTTTTTTTTCTATTAAATTATACCGTAACGAGAAAAAAAATAAAAATTCGATTTTTGACGTTTTTTGAAATTTAAAAAAATTTGGAGCAACCTCTTAAAAAATTTTTTTTGAGCTGTCTTTTGGAGAGGGCTCTTAAAACATCAAAAACTAACATTTTTTCACTCGAGACTCAAAAAAAAAATAGTCGGTTTTTTTGGGCCACCCTAAATATAGGGTAGAAGTACCGTTTGTGGCCACTGTACCATTTATGGCCATATATTGTTTAAATAAACGATAGAAATGAATTTACATTAATAAACCATTACAAACTCAATTTGTTTTAATATAAATTTTTTAAAACTCAGCAAAAATATGGTTATAATATTATAATTTTTTATAAATTAATTAAAATGTTAACTGGCCAAAAATGGTGCTAAGGTGGCCAAAAACGGTACTTCTACCCTATAGCCATATCAGAAAAATTTTTCACGGATCTGGATGCCAAAAACAATCAAATGTTCTTAATTGTAATTCAATCATACAATGTTTTGTCAATATTATTCTGAAGTTATTAGGCATTTATTTAACGAAAAACAAACATGAATTAATGTAATTTATAATTAATCCAAAAACAAATAGATACATTAATAATACTATGTGTTTGACTTAGATTCAAGGTATTTTAATGTAATTTTAACTTTTAATTTATGATGACTTTTATACATTGCCGTTCTAATTACCAAATTGTTTAACGCTACATTTGATAGGTCATTCTTTATTTTTAGACAGGAAAATTCCAAATACATATTATTTGGGTTACCTAAACAAAAATTTTATACATATAGTAAATGTTGAGTTAATTTTTATATAAAAAAAGTCTTTTTCTTGTCACAGATAGATACTTGATGATTTCAAAAAATTACTGTCGTAACATTGTATCATTAAATAATAAGTAAAAACATATAATCTTTCTGGTCTTAAAACCCTGAATTTTATCATCATTGATAAATTAAGATAGCATTTCACGCCTAATAAACCTGACCGTATTCTACATTTTCCACGTCGCTTTTCTGTTTATTAATTTTCTTCATTGTCTTTCATCTAATTAAAATAAAAATTGATCCTAAGGATTTAACGGTTCAATAATTGCTCAATTTTCTTTCTTTAAAAATAGAAACGCATTAACTAATTTTTTTTAATAGACTTTTAGTTGAAATTGATAAAATTGATTTTTGTCAATCAAAAATTCGATTAAAAAATATTGACATCTAGAAAACTGATTTGTTGTTTCTTAATTTAACGGAATAAACTGGCAGAGTGCTAAAGGAATGATCGATCTATTTAAAAAAAACTCAGATTTAATTATAAAAAAAAGTCAAAGATTTAAATGAATAAAAAGTGAATTAACCCAAAATAATTTCTGATAAACAGATAATAATTAAAAGAAGTTGTGCTTGAGCGTTAATTAATTATCTACGGTCTATTGGCCGGGTCTTTTGTACCTCTACATAGACATTACACATCTCGTTTTATTTTGGTACACAACCTTTGCATTTAATATTAAAGAGCTTTCAACCATGTCAAGACGAAGGACAGCGTAAAGGTATCTTTATTTATCGGCAATCACTTATTAATAATCCAATAACTAGTTAACTACTGACTACTAACTATATAAATATATATTTAATATCAAACTATTTTTTAAAATTCTCTAACCAGTAATAAAAAAATTAGATAGTGCAATAAAAAATTGCTGGCATCTTTGGCAAATATTCAAGTGGCAAAAAACTCTTGTTTTAGACTCTTGCCAACATTTCTTTATTTAAGTACCACCAAATTTTAAACTATTCCATTAACCTTTTTTATTACTTTTCTCATTCAGTTACTGTCTATAAAAATGTCAATTACTGATTAAAATAATAAGCCAGAACTAACCTCAAATAACTTTATCTTGACTAATTTGAATAAATATTCAAAGGTGTTTAATATTAATTTTAAAAAACATTCGTTTTATTTTCATGAGTTTTTTAAGTCCATTCTACCCACCCATTGCAGTATCGTTCTCTTAAAAGTTGACAATAGACGCAATATAAATAAAAACGACAATAAAATGGTTGATTGCAACGGAGAAGAATGCTGAGCGTGGATTGGCTCAAAAGTCGTTGGAGCAGTACTGCCAACTTACGAGTATCGAACTCAGTGCATACAATAGTTCCGACATCTAATGGTAAGAAAGTACATCACGGTTTTGTAGAAGAAAAAAGGCTAAAGTAACATATATAGATGTATATAGACTGGACTTGAACGTTAACATTGTCGTTGCTGGAAATAATTGATCATTTGTCTTTTCGTCGGGTCGTAAACAATAAATAGAAGCTATACGTCTAAATCAATCTTAATAACTTGAAAGTAAATGTTTATTTTTTATTCTGTGGTTCAATGACTGTGAAGAAAATATATTTAGACAGTATTTTTTATTTTTATTTATTATTAAAGGGTCTTTTTACCAAAATATTTGAGTATTGACACAAAAAAATGGTCACTTTTATTATGATAGAATGATATGAACTATTATATTAATATGGTAAATTTTCTTATTCTAAATTGCAATTTTTTTTTTATTATCATCTTGAGAAAAAAAGATTCTAAATCACGAAAATTTGAAGTATAATGACAATAAT